GGCACAAGTGTCACTGAGACGAAACAGTGCAATGGCACAACTGTCGCTGAGACGAAACAGTACTGACATGAAACAGTGTGACGGCACAACTGCCACTGAGACGAAACAGTACTGAGATGAAACAGTGCTACGGCACAACTGTCACTGAAACGAAACAGTACTGAGACGAAACAGTGCGACGGCGCAACTGTCACTGAGACGAAACAGTGAGATTGCACAACTGTCACTGAGACGAAACAATGCAACCGCACAACTGTCACTGAGACGAAACAGTGAGATGGCACAACTGTCACTGAGACGAAACAGTACTGAGACGAAACAGTGCGACGGCACAACTGTCACTGAGACGGAACAGTACTGAGACGAAACAGTGCGACGGCACAACTGTCACTGCGACGAAACAGTGAGATGGCACAACTGTCACTGAGACAAAACAGTGCGATGGCACAACTGTCACTGAGACGAAACAGTGCGACGGCATAACTGTCACTGAGACGAAACAGTGCGATGGAACAACTGTCACTGAGACGAAACAGTGCGACGGCACAACTGCCACTGAGACGAAACAGTGCGACGGCACAACTGTCACTGAGATGAAACAGTGCGACGGCACAACTGTCACTGAGACGAAACAGTTCTGACAAGAAACAGTGCGAAGGCACAACTGCTACTGAGACGAAACAGTGCGATGGCACAACTGCCACTGAGACGAAATAGTGAGACGGCACAACTGTCACTGAGACGAAACAGTGCGACGGCACAACTGTCACTAATACAAAACAGTGCGACGGCACAACTGTCACTGAGATGAAACAGTGCGATGAAACAACTGTCACTGAGATGAAACAGTGCGACGGCACTTCTGCCACTGAGACGAAACAGTTCGACAGCACAACTGTCACTGAGATGAAAGAGTGTGACAGCACAACTACCACTGAGACGAAACAGTGCGATGGCACAATTGTCACTGAGACGAAATAGTGTGACGACACAACTGTCACTGAGACGAAACAGTGCGACGGCACAACTGCCACTGAGACGAAACAGTGCGATGGCACAACTGTCACTGAGATGAAACAGAGTGACAACACAACTGTCACTGAGACGAAACAGTACTGACACGAAACAGTGCGACGGCACAACTGCCACTGAGACGAAACAGTGCGATGGCACAACTGTCACTGAGACGAAACAGTGCGACGGCACAACTGCCACTGAGACGAAACAGTGCAATGGCTCAACTGTCACTGAGAAGAAACAGTGCGATGGCACAACTGTCACTGAGATGAAACAGTGCGACAGCACAACTGTCACTGAGACGAAACAGTGAGATGGCACAACTGTCACTGAGACAAAACAGTACTGAGATGAAGCAGTGCGACGGCACAACTGTCACTGAGACGAAACAGTACTGAGACGAAACAGTGCGACGGCACAACTGTCACTGAGACGAAACAGTGTGATGGCACAACTGCCACTGAGATGAAACAGTGCGACGGCACAACTGTCACTGAGATGAAACAGTGTGACGGCACAACTGTCACTGAGACAAAACAGTGCGATGGCACAACTGTCACTGAGACGAAACAGTGCGATGGCACAACTGCCACTGAGACGAAACAGTGCAATTGCACAACTGTCACTGAGACGAAACAGTGCAATGGCTCAACTGTCACTGAGAAGAAACAGTGCAATGGCACAACTGTCACTGAGACGAAACAGTACTGACACGAAACAGTGCGACGGCACAACTGCCACTGAGATGAAACAGTGTGACGGCACAACTGTCACTGAGATGAAACAGTGCGACGGCACATCTGTCACTGAGACGAAACAATACAACGGCGCAACGGTCACTGAGACGAAACAGTACTAGGTCATAACCGTGAGTGGAAGAAACGACATTTGTACGAAAGACACTCGGTGGCGAGTTGGTGCTACATCAAAACAATTACATTTGGACTCAAAGCACTTTTTACAAACAATAAGGACTTCCACCACATATGATTAAATTTGTTCTGAATTAGTATGAACTGGTCATAACTGTGTTTCAAACCACATCTACGTGGAACAGTGACGATATAGATGGTAAAGTTCATGTGTTAAGCATTCATATAGTCAGGTATAAATAGTTCATATATTGTATATAGACAAAATAAAATTAGATATTCATAACTGATAGTTTTGCTGGTGGTAGAAAATCAGGCTCATTATTATCGTTACAATCATATATTTTAAATTCTCGATTGAAATTGTACCAACACGGTAAATTACTTTCATTTAACTATAACCTCCCTGTTATGTATGATGACCACCTGCCCAAAGTGACCACGTTTGTGTTAACCCAATGTAACTAACATGTGAAGTGGTCTGGGTATAATGACCACCTGCCTAGAATGACCATCTTTGTGTTATTCCAATGTAACTAACATGTGAAGTGGCCTGTGTATAATGCCCACCTGCCCAAAGTTACCACCTTTGTGTTATCCCAATGTAACTAACATGTGAAGTGGTTGTGTATAATGACCACCTGCCCAGAGTGACCACCTTTGTTTATCCCAATGTAACTAACATGTGAAGCGGTCTGTGTATAATGACCACTGCCCAAAGTTGACCATCTTTGTGTTATCCCAATGTAACTAACATGTGAAGTGGCCTGTGTATAATGACCACCTGCCCAGAGTGACCACCTTTGTGTTATTCCAATGTAACTAACATGTGAAGTGGCCTGTGTATAATGACCACCTTCCCTGAGTGACCACCTTTGTGTTATCCCAATGTAACCTTCATGTGAAGTGGTCTGTGTATAATGACCACCTGCCCAGAGTGACCACCTTTGTGTGATCTCAATGTAACTAACATATGAAGTGGTCTGTGTATAATGACCACCTGCCCAGAGTGACCACCTTTGTGTTATCCCAATGTAACTAACATGTGAAGTGGCCTGTGTATAATGACCACCTGCCCAGAGTGACCACCTTTGTGTTATCTCAATGTAACTAACATATGAAGTGGTCTGTGTATAATGACCACCTGCCCAGAGTGACCACCTTTGTGTTATCCCAATGTAACTAACATGTGAAATGGCCTGTGTATAATGACCACCTGCCCAGAGTGACCACCTTTGTGTTATCTCAATGTAACTAACATATGAAGTGGTCTGTGTATAATGACCACCTGCCCAGAGTGACCACATTTGTGTTATCCCAATGTAACTAACATGTGAAGTGGCCTGTGTATAATGACCACCTGCCCAGAGTGACTACCTTTGTGTTATCCCAATGTAGCTAACATGTGAAGTGGTATGTGTATAATGACCACCTGCCCAAAGTTACCACCTTTGTATTATCCCAATGTAACTAACATGTGAAGTGGCCTGTGTATAATGACCACCTGCCCAGAGTGACCACCTTTGTGTTATCCCAATGTAACTAACATGTGAAGTGGCCTGTGTATGATGACCACCTGCCCAGAGTGAGTGACCACCTTTATGTTATCCCAATGTAACTAACATGTGAAGTGGCCTGTGTATAATGGCCACCTGCTCAGAGTGACCACCTTTGTGTTATCCCAATGTAACTAACATGTGAAGTGGTCTGTGTATAATGACCACCTGCCCAGAGTGACCACCTTTGTGTTATCCCAATGTAACTAACATGTGAAGTGGCCTGTGTATAATGACCACCTGCCCAGAGTGACCACCATTGTATTATCCCAATGTAACTGACATGTGAAGTGGCCTGTGTATAATGACCATCTGCCCAGAGTGACCACCATTGTATTATCCCAATGTAACTAACATGTGAAGTGGCCTGTGTATAATGACCACCTGCCCAGAGTGACCACCATTGTATTATCCCAATGTAACTTACATGTACAATTACATATTTTTAAACTGAAAAATTGTCATCTTTTTATTCATTTACTTTATTTTTGTATATCGGCAATGAATTGGGCAACATGAAGAAGAAGTCAGAATGATCGTGACATGGTGGATATATTTCATAGCAATATTTATTCATTTCTGATATTACGATACATCAATAGCACGCTTCAAATGTGTCAATAATGTAACAAAAAACAATCAAGCGCACTTTGAAGTAATGAACACCAAACGAACACTTTATAGGAAACGACATAAATATGACACCATAATATATTAATATATGTGTCCAATTTTGATTTAATATTCGTGGGTTCATATTTATATCAAAATCCTTTTTATAGCAAACGTTTCCAAATTATCTATTTGAAAAATCTGTAAGACACTCTGTGATCAGGAGGCTAGATATTCTAATTGCGTTTCAAAGAAACTTGGACGGAATTGCTGAAAAAAAACTAATTATAATTAGTTATAATTGTTCATGTTAAAAATACAACAAAACACACTTCAAACAGTTTAAACATATTTTTTAAGTTAAATTTTAGATGATCGCACCATTTTCTGCACCATTTGTATGTGAGTGAACACTACATTTTAACTGTACAATCTCAACACCGCTCCATTTCTCTGCGTCTTTTAATTTCGAAACGTTAATGGAAAGAGAAAAAAAAACATATTTACATTGAAAATTCGTGCATAAATTGAACACCTAAAATACAAACGTGAGTCTAATGATGAATTAAAGCTTTGCATAATTGATTAGTGAAATTGACAAGTGGTGCAAGACTGGCAAACACCGCTATTGCAGTCACTGGGAGTGTGCCTAAATTCGGCATCATCGAAAATACCATTTAATATATACTAATCCATGGACGGTTAAACGCTTGAATTTTTCAAGCAGAATATTTGCATAGGCATCCCACCATGTGAGCTGTGGGATTTATTGGCTGAACCCTGACCCTAAGGCTATTGTGCTAAGCGTTGGTGCGTTTAGAGCATTCTATGCTATATTTATGCTATTTATTTGTAATACTGTGTGGTTGATTAATTTCTACCAGTGTGTATCTGCTTAGATTCCACCTTAAATCCGTAAATATGCTTTATAAGCTCAAAATAAACAACTTCGAGTTCAAGTCGTGGACTGCACTGCAGTATCAATCAATCAACGGTCGACATAAATTACTGAATTCAAATAAAAATACGAATTAAGTATTCTTTGTCGAGTGTAAAGTTTTCAGATAATTGCCACTAAAAAGGCATAGCCAATTTCAATGAAGGGCTGGTTGAAAAAACAAACAAACAAACAGAACATTGTAATGGTGTAGAGGTGGCGCTGTCTGTGTGTGCACTTCATTGACTAGCTGGATATTGTAATTTCGGAGAATGCTTTATGGACCCTGTCTGTAGGCAGCCAACTTAGTGGTGGTTGGGTATGTCCTACGTACACCCATACACTTCTCTTTGTCGATGAAAAGACTGTTGTTCTTAACGGACAAGTCGTGCTCCAGGGTGGTCTTGGTACGGACGAGTTCTTGTAGAGCGGCCTCACCGGCACGTAGACGGTTCTGTAGAATGTCAACTGTTTCATAGATCTCACTAACTTCTCTGACCAGCCTAGAAATGATACAACAGTAATCGTCAATATAACGTTCTACTAGCTTCATGTATTGTGCAAGTTATGATTTTTGTAATTATAATATGTTGTTGTTTTTTAGGCCACGCGATTACAGCCATGTTTACTGTACCTGTGTTGTGGTTGATCTCTGCAGAGTTCAACATTGGGTCGTCGAGTTCTGCTATCCAGACGTGACTGAGCAACTTGCAGAGGAGCATTTTTATCCTGGAGTGCCTTTCGCATCATTGAAATGTTGTTTTCCATTTCATTAATTTCTTGTAGTACCTAAAATACATATAAAAGAATACTATTTAGTTTCAGTCTAGCCCGGACAATGGATCCTTATTCCGGGCGTCATGTCAGCGTTACATCCATATATTGACTTATCAATGAACTGAATAATTTATTGAAACCAAAAATAAAATAAATAAAAAGCCCACAATTTACTACTTTAAAGCCTAAATCATCGTTCGCAATATAAATTCACGTAGGCTGTTTTAATAATACCGCAATTTTAATGGAGACTTGAAAACAACTGAAACGCACGTCCATATGGTCCAAAATATTAACAAAATTATCGAAAATGCTACACCGACCAATTGGCGGGATTCTACTCACTTTAGCCAAATGGGCCTGGATGTTGTTCCTAGCGTCAAGCGTCTCAGCCACTCTACCTTGAAAGGCGACGTTGGATGTGTTGTATTGCGTCCACATGTCATTGGCAGTTTCCTGAAGGACGCTGTCGACGTCGCCTCTTAGACCACGTGATGCGTTACGCTCACGCTGCGATCTCAGCAGGTTATCGTTGGTGAATTTAGCCCAACTTTCTGGCACAGAAACCCTACAATGACAAACAATTACACGGTCACGTGGTGTAAATAACAATAGTATTTGAAATTATAGCACTGCTAATTTGCCTAAAAATATATTATGAGAAATGTTTACCACACCTAAGTCACCAGTGCCAAATTACAGCAGAGAAGTTCGATGGTAGGTGACCGAGATAAAAATGACTTTTTGACATGCTAATTCTATTGAATCTTTTTTTCGTGACGTAAATCACCACTCACAAAGGTAAATTCACCATTTTATTTCACTATAGTAACTGTTACGACCAATTTAATATAGCTGTAATATATGTCATCGCTCGTTTTATAAATGCACTTATAGTAAGTTTTATATGTTCGATTCAATAGCATCGTAGTATAAATGATATCAATAAAAACTGTGATCACGATTTATTTACATATTCAAATAAATATGTATATTTCGATCGATATTATTACTTGGAGTTTAGGAATGCCATGGCAAAGGCCATCTACGCAGGGGAGAGACTAATAGAAACTGAGCTCTACTCATTAAAAATATGTCACTTTTACGGCGTGTAATACTAAAGCAAATTCCCATCAGAAGCCCACTTCATCACGGTCTGATTACACATAAAAGGCAATACTAACAACAGGATACACCTGCTCTGTTTCATGTGCGCCCTCTGACCCCTCACATTAGACCTAAACGTTGTAATAGTACGTTACCATGTTACACCATTTTGTGTATAGTTACTGTTTGCAAGTCGCGCTGTAAAGAAGTGCTGATCAATGTGTCAAAATTAACTTTAATTTAAGTGCTATATTTCACTCGTCATGAAATCACCCAGAAACCCAACTAAAACAAATAATTAGATTCAACTTATAACCATGCGAGTAACAAACACTGGATACGAATTTGGGTCAATTGTCTGTGTTTTAACATTCCAGTTTATTTACATGATAAGATTAATAGTCTTACAATAGCCAAAGGTATCGTAAATTTACTCAACATGGCGTCCACTGTAACACGGTTGCTAAGTGACGCCCCCACGCGATGTGGGCGCTTAACAAATAACAAATATGCAATTTATAGAGTTATTAATAATCTTGTGGCATTTCAAGCGTGTATTATTTCATATTCACACAATAATGCTGTATATTCAAGGAGATAAACGGCATAAAATTATTTGGACTAATGAGATATTCAACATAATGGGGAACATGAATATAATTGTGTTTTTTTTGTGTGTGCGTGATTCAACAACGTGATCGATAAAACGTTATTTGCAACTGGGGGTCCATATTTACGTTAATACTGTGCTTATATTTAGGGACGAGCTAGTATTTATACAGGGTCGGGATAAAAAGGTCATATTTGACTAGATAAGTAAACTGCCCATTTGATGAGTGCATTGTTTGGCTTGATAAACCTGGCCAAAACAAACATATGATATCGAGTTGCGGCTGTTCTAGTCGTCTGAGTGGGTTAACTAGTATAGGATTAATTCTTGTTTCCATGACAAATAATTAATTCACAATGATGAGGATGTAAAAAATGTTCTGATAATTAAAAACGTTATTAAAAATGCCTGTTCACTGTCTTTATATATTGCTTTTGACAATGGCGTCGTAATAAAACCAATATACCTGTTGTCGTAGTTTTATTTGGTACGTGAATAAACGGATTATTATTTGAGGATTATTGTGCTCAGATTATATGGACTTCGGTGAGTTTAAACTTGTTCAATTTTTAAAATGACTATAGTGAACTCTTTAAAACTAGCTCCATAGAAAAGCTGGCATTGTACTTCTTCGTAGAGCTTTGTTGAAATTGAAGTTAGTCATTGTACAGTGATATCTTCTCATTCCACTGTACTAGGAACCTAATGAGTTGTAAAGACACCTAACTTGTTGCTAGGTGCACCAGTCAAATGCTTTTACAGTGGGATTTTCATATTCTCTCAAAATTAGTAGTATTTGTTTATAGCCAGTGTTTATCGAATTGAAGATGCATATTACTAATACTATTTTAACGAGTATGTTGCACCCATACAGAGACCTTTTTTTATTTGTTTACCCAAACATCTGCCAACTACAATGTCTTTGTAATTTGACTGATCGGTTTGACAGTCGTGATGGTCTACTTACGTGTTGTCCACGCCCTCTACGCCACGGAAATATGCCAAGCCTTCCGAGTTGTTATGTAACTGGTGACATTTGCCATCGATGTTCAGCGAGCGCCATTTGTCAGCGGTGTCTTTCTCGAGTTCATGTAAGGCTGCTCTGTTCATGCTGAAAGAAGACATAAAGGAAAATTTAGTTTAACGTCTATTTCACGAGTGAGCTGCTTCAAGTTGCAAACGTCGGACCTCACCCGGAAGAATACTCAATTGACTTCTGTCACCATGAATGTCTTTTAGGCTACATTATGGAACGTTGCCAGTGTCCCACTTGTATCATGAGCCGGGTGGGACTTCACAAACACATATGATAAAAAATAATATTATGAGATGTAATTGTTGAAATAAATTTTGAGAATATAATTATACTAACATAACTGGTAATAACATAGTATCTACTAGTATATCCCGTGACTCCCAATATACATTCACATGTTTGGTACATGAATAAAAATTGTTATTAATTTCTTTTTCTCATCGTATTTTAAATGTTATTTTACAGATTGCCAGCAGAGTACTGTAAGATGTGGGACCGGCTGTGTCGTTGCTATGACGATAACATCATTGTCATATAGTAAGTAGGTTTTTTGTCTGTGGCGGTAAAACAACAAATGTAGTCCCAGTATTTCACGCTATAAACTTTTATTCTGTTTACTGTCGCAATTCGTGGGTGCGATATCGGTTTACTATTGCTCGACAAGTAAGGCACCCCGCAGTTACGTGTACCTGATCCCTTCTCCCGTCTATTCGTGGAGGTGTATTTGTCGCCATGATTCGCTGTTCATGTGGCGTACGTTTCAGTATGTATATACATGAGATTGCTCAATAGCAGAGTAGCCGTGTTTAGTCTACTAAAATTTAAACAACACAATACGTGATAGACTAGAGAGTGGGGGCAGTCACGTGATGAATGTGTGTTATTCCAATATGTTATCGAGATGAGAACCGGACGTACATGCAAGCTAAGTGAAACTGACATTTCACATTTCATAAAACACACACGGCGTTGAATTTTAAAATAGACCGGATGTTACGTATTTCCTAGCAACAAGCTGGTAACTATAGAACACGTATAAGTAAGAGTGAAATTAGCCAGATAGTTTGTTGAACTCATAGCACATGTTTAGACTTATCAATAAGGGATTATATGCAGCGATTTTCTTGTCATAATTACTCCAAGGATTTCTGTATTATAAAATTTCACGGAAAGCTGACTGAGGAAGAATATCTGAGGCTGGCCATTTAGTATTACGGCAACACTGAATTCGGTATATCATTATCGCCTAAAACATATTCTGCATTCACTGAAACAGCGCTTAGCCACTCCTTAGTTTCCTACATGTTTAACAAATAGCATGTTCGGAAAGCAATTAGATATGAGAATGAAACACAGATTTGGGTTATTATGTTTAAATGTACAACTGCGTTCTTATCACGAATACAGTCGGACCGATTTCAAGAATGGTCTATTTCAATTTGCATAGCAATGTTTGTTTTTTGTTGTTTTTTTTCACGAGAAAATAAAATCGACGGAAACGATGAGTGACAGGCTGTCTGCTCTTTCAAAAGTATGAACAGAAGTGAGAGGTCATTAAATATCGACTCATTGAGATTCAGGGTGCGTCTCCGTCACGGTGTCTTGTTTATCTCTTGCACAATATAATTAAATTCGATTTATGTTGGAGTGATCTAGTATTCTGAAGCGATGTAAAGTAAAGAATGATTCTAAGACCTTTGTGAACTTAATTGAAGTTGAAATTAACTATACCGTTAGAAATGGAATTTTTCTACCTTGTCTTTGCTGGTTACTAGGGAAAAATAAGCGGCGCGTACATTTATATCTAGATATCATGCACAACCGTGTTGTATTGTACCGTGATAACCCAGACATTAATACAAGTAATTGTCTGTCCTTGGCCCTAGTATGTATACCGCCGGTCGTTTTTTTTTATAGTACAAAGCCTCGTTGCTAAGGGCGACGCACGTCACGTGAAGTGATAACCACCTCTCCGTTGTATTGGCAACGATGAATTTGTCAGTCGGTCGTTGGCTTGTTCGTTTCGTGTCAAGGAATGTCGATTACAGCGTAAACGTCACATTCAACGGACATTATGAAAAAAACAGTGCTTGAAAAAAGGGGGTCCACCATGGCCACCGTGACCGACCAAGGCACGGTGCCAGAGAAGGAGTGTTATGTATAAACTTGTGATCAGCGATATCACTCACATTGACATTCTCCTGTTTACTGTTTTTTTATAATTCTGTTCTGTTTGAAATAAATTAAGGAGTGGGAAATATGAGTCACCATGTTATGCAGTTATACGTGTGTGTAACCTTTGAACAGTGCTTCGCAACAATGGACGTGCAATTAACCAGTTTGATTTATCGTTTGTTGAAGTTTCAAGGCACGATAACGGAAAAATGGTGCCGCCCTTCGGTCAACAGGTGGATTGTCGAATAATTCTATGAAGGGTTAGAAAAGGTCATAAGGTTAGAATTTACACAAAGAGTAAACCACACCGCGGTGAAGAAATGGAGCATAACAAACTAAACAAGCCAAGGGTGAAATATACACTGTAGTATATTTACAAATGGGCTATTAGTCTACAGCGTGCAATCATAGAGGTATAAGATATCCCATGATGCAACACTCTATATTTACATATATATAGTAATACATGATGTAATGGTGTGGCCAGGGTTGAGTACTAGACCGGCTTGTTTCCCGTGTGTTTTCACTTTAAATGTCTACTTGATCTGCCAGTGTTGGAGTGACGTTTACTTTTAACATAATGCATTTTGCAATAATGTTGTTAGAAGAGTCAAGACCTCGCTGTGGCGGGGGAATTGTATGTTTGGTGAGTGCTGATACCATGGAAACTGTCAGATTTGGTCACGCGTAATGTCGAGTGTCTTTTTTTTTTAAACACAATATAACATATACATTTTTGAATTCTAAATTATGATGTCAAATGTCTGTTTCGTTTATCACCATTATGTCTGCATGTCATCTTATATACGCTATGAAGTCGTTGAGATAAAGGTTGTGCAGTCACGGGGGAACACTTCAAACTAAAAGGGGTCCCGTTATAATGAGATAGATGGATAGCACAAGGAGCACCGTTCTCGGGAATATGTCAGATATAAATGTGTATAAGTTACCTTAGCTGTGCTGACTGGCGGTCGATCATTTTTCTCAGTTGGTCTTGGGAACGTTTAATTGTGTCTACCTCCTATAAAAAGAACATACAAAGCACGGTCTTGAGTAAATAGAGTGAAAATAATCTAATTTCAACTCAAGTTTTGTATTTGTGCATGTTTCCATAGAACGTCAATTTTATATGTACAATTTCATTAGTTAATAACCCCATTAATTTCAAGTTGTCGATTCTGCAATTTGATTGTATCCTTCCGCGAGCTGGGGTGCCAATCAGACGCTGGCATCGTAACACAAACAGAAATAATGGAAGTTTGTTTACGCCTGTTTATAGTGATAATCAGTTCTGGTGTATAGCATGGAACGATATGCACACATTAAGCCGCTGATCCCTGATTAATGTACCGTTAAATAAACTACACTTCGGGTGATAACAACAAATATTGACTTAGTTGGAAAATCCCGCGAAATGTAACCATGTGGTTGTTTGGAGTCGGCATAATGGGCATACTTACTGTGTGATATTATTGAACATGAGATTAACATCTTATTTGCACGTGTATTTTAAAAACCCCATTATATTGCTTAGACATGTACGTACCTTCAACAGTTCCTTTTCTACAGCATCGTTCACCAAGTCAATTCCTTGTCTCTTTTCACGATTAAAGAGGCATTCTTGCGCAATTGCCAAAGGTCCTTCGGTCTCTCTCAGTGCGTGTTCGGTTCTCTGTTTCCATGCAGCTACGTCGTTGATTTCTTTCTGCATTTCATCGATTTCTTTATGTAGTTCCGATTTCCAGAAGTTGATGTCGCTCATCCTCTGTCCCAAATTCTTGCTCGATTCGTGTTGGTTCTTAAAGGTTTTTGCGTCGGTGTCGTGAGCAATTCGGACGTTCTCGTCACGTAACCGCTGTGCAGCGCTTCTTGTGAAATCGGACGTTCGGTAGTTTGTGTTGTTGCTCTTGAACCATTCCGTTGGGGTATACTTGGAAAATAAAGCCGTACGATTCGAAGGGAGCATTGGGGGTACTCTGTAGACAGCATCATCTCGCATCAGTATACTAGGATTGGCGACGGGAGCACTCTGGCTGAGTGGACTTAACTTATTAGCACCTCGGTAGTACACGCTGGGTTTCCATGGTAAATTAAGTGACTGGCTTACAATAAATGGCGGTGCATAGCTCTTGTAAGATGCTTGCATGGTGCTTTCAAGTGGTGGCAGGAAAGTCGCTCCTGTTCCCATTCTGGGAGCGGAGAAATAACTCCCTGTCATTGTTTGTCCGTAATAATCCTGCATGTTGTTATCGTCTAGTGTGTATGCGTCAACCAAATCGTCAGTAGCCCAGTCCTGTTACAAGGTGGGGAAGTAATTAATTAACTCACTTTAGAGAACAGTGTTCCGAAACGGAGTTGTTCCTTCTTCTCTGGAGTCGGTTGTTGTCTCCAAACTGACACTGTCACTACCTCCACCGAAATAACCACGTTGAACTTGGAATTTGGGCCAGATATGAAGCTCAACAAGTTCCACTGTAGACTGACGGAACTCGACGGACTCTAATCTATGTGGTACACAAAACGGCTACCTCGCAACCAGCCTCATGTTTATGGATACCTTGCTTGGCCAATTGAATGCCGTGTCTCATGAATATCAGTTTAGCATATGATTGGTAACTATGCGCGTCGGCAAGGACGCCATTATGACCTGAGAGCTCCAATTGCAAACATGGGGAACAAAGAGTCAAATCTGTCACAGCGGCTCCGCCCCTAGAAACCATTCAATCGGAAAGTTTTCATGACATAACCAATTCACTGGGATTCAATGTAAGAAGTAAAATAACTCATAAAATGGCATTATAATTAAAAAGTACAGCATGTTTTTATTACAAGCTAATCACTATGTCTTTACGATGATGGATAATTGAGTAGTCACGTGGTGGATTATGTTTTACTGGAGCCTTATAATATCATTTTGTGTTCTGTTAAATGTAAATATTACAAGAATATTACGCACTACTAGCGTCTGTTATATTGTGAGTAAAATACATTTGAATAAAATGAATAAAATAAAAGCCTTTTATTATTTTTGTTTTGAGTTGCACGTAAAGACGTTATAACCATTCTTATTCGACCATTTGTCGCCACCCATACGGATTTATCTCTATCGGGTACGATGTAATCATGATATTATATCAATCAATGTTATAAATGTGGACAGGTCGCGGCGACAGTTAAAATGACATTGATGTGAGAAATGCTATGATAATTAGCGCATTCATCCCAGCTTCTACTCACACCTCTCCAGCCCATCTAAGTGTCTCAATAAACATTGCGTTAACGTAAATCAGTTTAATATTGTAATAAACGGCTCGCACCATTTAGGAGAGAAAAATTTTCAGTAAATAGTACATACTGTAACCTGATTGTTTTCAATCTTTGCATTAGTTTGTTTTTATTAATTTGACTGACACGCACTACTGAAATCCATGTAGTGATACCTGCCTGGGGTTCGTGTCATTAGTGCCGACCATTGTCGCAATAGAGCACATCTGTCACACACCTTTTGTAAACATGTAAAGTTAATCCAATTCAGAGACCTCGTTAAACGTTCTGTCGTAAAGTGGTTCACAGTAATGCATTATATAACTAGTATTGAACACTGTAACTGAGATAGATAGATATGTTAATGACCATGCTTGTTCGATTATTTCGTGGCGTTCATGTGCGTCACGGTGTATTCACACACAGGTTGCATTAAATGAGTATTCATCGTAACGATCGAGTCGATCTCACCATCGCCGCCATAATATCACTCTACTCACTGAAGTACCCCGTGTAATTCCAGTTCTTTGTTTACGGATTGAAACATGTCCTCGTGAGACATTGTAACAATCACTGTGACTAGGACAGAAATGGTGACGAAGAACTGTATTACAGTGTAACCTTGAAGATAGTACAGAATTTAGAAATCGCATGGTTGCTACGATGTCTATGAATAAATTAAATTATTTCCAACAAAACATTGAACTATTTGTAAAAATCTTTCCCAGCAAAGAATACTTCTTTGAATCTTGGATCATTTAAGACTTCAAGTATTACGTTTGATTTAGCGATGTTATGTTTTCCATAAAAACGTATTCATTTTAGTTTAATTAAATGTGTGAATTATTATAGAATGCTACTCAGTAGTAATTTGAAATTGTCGGTCGTTGCTTGCTCATTCAGTTTACGGTAAGTGTTCACCACAGGTGTACGGTGTCAACTATAGTGCACTTCATTTGCAATGAACTTGAACATGGTAAAGTTGTTGATCATTCTCAGTTTTTTTTAGAATACTGAATACCCCCACCCATCCCCATCCAGTCCCTGGATACGCTAATATGCTGTTGCTAGGCACCGACATTCATTTAACATTTATATTATCGCGTCATCGATACTGGGTATTAGACAACGGGTATTGATCGTTACGTCTCATTGTATTCGCGTTATGTCCTCTTTGTTTTTTTTTATTGAAATGTGTTTGCGTTTGTGAAGACAAGACATCCAATTCTGTTCGGTTGCTAACTTAATAACTTAACATTAATAAGTATCTGATCTTATGCAATTTGAATGTTTTGAATCCCTATAATTTCACTGGAATGCCCTGCTGTATTTCACCTGTCTGAGAACACGAGAAAATAATACATTGCCATACTATTGCCTAGTAACCGTAACCATGGAAATATAATACGTGTATGATATCATTACACCTGTCTCATTTTTAGTAAAGCATACAATTTTCATGACATATATGCTAAGTGTTTGCAGGTTCGACGCTAGTCGCAATCATCTTTAAGTTATTTTCTCCATAGTTGCGACCGAGCCATAGTATGTTGTTATCAGGGGTTTACGACTGTGAAACGCGACAATAAACATTGTGATATGGACTTGAACACTGTAAATCTTTGCTACGGGCATTAACCGCAAAGTCTGACACGATACGATTTTTGTATTCAAGAGGAATGCTAAAGATTTCAGCTGGAATTATATAAACCGCTACTCCCACACTGCACGCAGTACAAGGGGTGTTTCTGAGGGTTTAATATTCTAAACGATTACCACGTTTGCCCATTGGCAAGGTTTGACTTGGCAACCTCGTTTTCTACTTTCTTGTAGGATTATTTTTGTCTACGATTAATACAAGTGAACTATTATTCGAAATACTGCTGTTAATCCTAATAATATAGTGGCATTTCAAAACGCATTTGGAATACCATGGGAACGGGGATAATAAATTAGTGTCTCGTCTCTCATAGAGATACGAAGTTTGGGGCCACCGTGACTGTGAAAGTAACGTAACACACAATATTGAGCGATAGGTCAATCAAAAGTTGAACGCCTAACAAGAAAAGGAGAACAATTGCCTGGGATTATGCGAGGTTATATAATGAAAAGAACATGACAAAAATATTAATTTATGAAATGAACGCCATCCGTACCTTGTGGGCATTACAATATTGTAAAAGGGTGTCAGTAGAGTCCTTTGAACAAGGTTAAAATCAGGATTATCGATGAAACATCAAATAAAGAAGATTGTTTGCTCGTCCTTTCAGTGAACTTCCAATAACATATGTTGTATGAATCGATGGGTATTATATCTGTCATTGCTCTGAAGCCCAAATCTTCAGTTGTTTGCCCCGCTGATTGTTTGTTACTGAAAAGCTTGGCAGTCACCATTGTCGTACCTATAAAGAAAGCTTCTTCTGCAACGGTTCTTTAGGGCAAGTGCGCCACGGCTTGTGTGTAGCACCGCTGCCGACACTAAAGTCTACGGTATGGCCTCACGGAATTACTGTACATGTATTTATAAAAAAAAAAGGATCGTTTGGACGAATGTTTACAACCTGAATTTACTGAGTCAATCAATTGTTCGACGTCTTAACCCAGAGTTCATAAATTTAAAAGTCTAGGTGACCGTAAAACATATTTGCTTTAATGTCTGCGTATATGTATGTACACATTGATATGTGTGAAACTGGCCTTTCTCAGCGTGTATGCACAGTGCACTATTATATTATACACTTAGTTAGGTCCCGCTATCATAGATCGATCGACTGTGGCTCGAAGGGTCCCTCTATTATAATAGACAGCCATATATAGAGGAAGTGTGGTTAACTAAACACCTGTTCGTCGATATACCCGAGCTGTTTCTGCCCGGCTCTGTCATGACCTGTTCCCATTAAATATTCAATACACTGGCTGGTCTATATCGTTAATCACACTAGTTACTATTGTTCAGATAAGGAATGTTTTTAGTACCTGTGTCAATGTTTCACTGTACCAGGTCACGTGGTTATCATGTAAGTGGCTGGTTATTTATTTATTTATTTATTTATTTG